AAGCGCTGAAACCATGTGGTCCCGGAGCAAGCTCAAATTCAGCACTAGCAGCCCGCGCTGGCTCAACAGGCGGCGCGGGCCCAGCGGTCGGCGGGGAAGGCGACACAGGCTCAGCAGCAGACACCACCTCACTGGCGACCGAGCCACGTCGCCCCTGGGGTTGTCCGGCTATCCTCCGCACCTCGCGGGCCTCCCTAGTCACAGGCGTATCCAGGTCATATGACTCCGGGGTAAGCTTCCGGTGCCTGCACTGGTCCTTCATGGCACCCCTCTCCTGATACACTGTGCGGGCAACTGGGCATGGAAACCTACACCTGCACTTGCATTTTGCGACATCAAGAAGCTTGTGGAACTTCGCAGTGGCGGTGTTGCTGTGTCATTCTCTTTCTTTCTTTGATTTCTTGCTGATAGCTCTGTTGGGATCATATCAATTCCTCTCGATCGATCAATTTTGCCACGTATTTTAGATGATGAACAGGTGCCGCTTCGTTGGTCCTGATTTCTACCTTTCTTTGCCTTTCTTTTCTAGATTTCTAATCGGCAGTTGGTGGTGAGACAGAAGAGCCGGGTGACCTATCACAAAATGTGTTGTGAGCGACCGTGCGGCCTTCGGCATGCTTATGCAAGTAATTGTCCCAAAGAAATGTTTCAGTACCGACAAAACTTAACTAAGTACATAACTTTTAAATCAACATCAAAGTCATGCGTTAGCAATAACAAACTTGAACCTACCCCATTCTGCTGGAGTATTCTCATAACTGCACAGCTTTGGGTTTTTCCAAAAAATTAGTACTCTGCTAAAAAGTCAGCTTAAAAGCTGTTTGACAATGTTTTGCTGGTGTTCTTCATGATATCTATTTCATAATTAATCCACCAAGCACCTGTAGTGTGAAAAGTGGCAGTTTTGAGGTTTGTTGGAGGATGAGCCCAGTGCGTAAAGTAGGTGGCGCTAGCATTGAATACAGTTTTCTTTGCCCATCAAAGAAAAACTGCTCTCGCTTCACGAATATCAACATTGGTGCGATTCGACAGGCCTGAACGCTTATCATTAATCCGTGTGGCAAGGAAAAACTTTGTCTCAGCTGATTCCAAGAGATTCACCCCCTCGATGACGCACTCTAATATATATATATATATATATATATATATATATATATATATATATATATATATATGCATGCATGTATGCATGCATATACACCTTTTTACGACAGACAGACGGAGATCACAGAACTTGCGCGGTATATGACTGGTGACAGTCTCTGCTATGCATCCGTCTCTCCATTTCATGACAGCACCTTAAACACTTAAAATAAGAGCATAAAACACGGGCATGCGAACAACAATCCGCTTTCCATTGAACAACACTCACTGCTGTTTTGACTTGGTGACACCAAACAATTCTTTAGCCGCGCAGAAGACACCATTAGCATAGCAAACTGTGAAGAACACAGCCAACAAAGCAAATCACAACACTGCATGCCAATCACCCAACACCCGCGCCATTCATCAGTGTCTTGTTCTATGTGTAAATTTATTATTTGTGATGCTGCTTCAAGGAGATAATTAAATAGGTTGATTCCATTGTTTGCTTAGAAGCCGTATGTGGTGATGAATGAGTAATGCAGGCAGAATGTTGATCTTTCTTGTTTCGTATACAGATTATATAATTACAGTATTTTGTGTAAGTGCTTGGCGCGTGAGGATCGTTTTATGGTCGGGTTGTATGTGCTTTCTTGGCGTCCCCTCCGAGAGGTGCTCTGTGAGACGCCGGAACAAAAATATTGTAGTTACTTCGTTGTAGGATAAGGAACCTTGCAGCAACGCCTGGAAGCGGTCAGCAGAAGGGTGGAAATGACCACGCATCGGAAATCGGTACTTTCCAACGCTTGATGAAATCATTGGTATGCGTGTAAAGGGTGTCCCAGGCCCGATGCTCAAGCAAGTAGACAACCACCTGAATTGCATTGGCAAAACGTTCGGGTCAGGAGCTGCAGGGCATTCCGTCCTCTCCTGGGGTTCCCAGCGGCTTCTATGCTGGTGATGGCCCCCAGGGCCGTAAGAACACACTCAGAAGGATGCATCACAACAGGTCCCCTCCTCGATGCGGCTGGCCCTCTGACTGAGGCATCCAGCAGCGGATCGGCGCAGGGGCTATCGCTGATGCAAACAGACTCTTTACTGGCACAGGAAATCCAATGATTAGTATCGAGACACTAATTCGCCTTATCGGCCCCTGGATACCACGGTGCGGAGGATCCCTCGTGCGGTACTGGTGCCTCTGACTAGTCCAGGCCTCTCCACTGTCTCATTGTACATGTGAACCCTTTCTTTGTGATTTCTGATGAATCCTTTCATTATCAGGAGGGAGCGGACCAGCACAGTAGGCCCTTTGATAGACGTGGTTCCAACATCGCTCCTTTTCAGTAAATAGGCTCCTGACCGACCTGGGGCTCATTGCCGACACACGGTCTCCTGTTAGGGACTGTGGTCACTGACCAGCACCGTGGGTCCGTCATTGTTGAGGTGTCTCGACGAGTGTAAGAGGCGTTCTGATTGACAATTAGAGACCGTAGCATTGTTCCTGCTTTGGAAAGGACCCCTAGGCCCCATATGGCACGGAACGGACTGTTCGATATTGTTGGTCCCTGTCAGCTGCCCCAAATAGAGACACAGTCGCACGGGGCCTCCGATCAGTGGTAGGGCTATTCTAACATGTTGGCTGTGATCCCTCCATACGACCTCCGGCCTGTTCTTCCGATCCTTTAATCGGGCCCTCCATCTTCGGCTCTGAGAGATCAAAAAAGACTCTCGTGGCCCATGGGACCCTCGGGCCTAAGATGTAGCATAGGGTGGGGGGAGAAGTGCTCAATTCGGTTTCCCGTGAAAATTAAGCTTTGGGTGTCATTTTAAATGCCCCTGGAATTTTGCATCGCTTTGAAATGAATGTTTGGCCATATGTGATATGTCAACTGGGATTGGGTGCCCATGAAAATAAGTGTTATGATGCCCGGAATCATGGTTCTTGATGCCTTTTCACCAAAGGTGGCGAACCAGGGTTTTGTCAGAGTGTAAGACGAGGACATTGTGGTGCCCCGGTATTTGGGCACTCCTTGAAATTGAAAATAAAATTTTGCACCACCTTCAACCGTTCTTTCAGTCGCCCATATGCATTTGATGTCTCAAGGAAATTTGCTCGGCGCGACGTTTCGTCGACAGTGACGCGGTCACAGGTGATGAGTGTGGTGAATCGCTGCGACACCTGTCGCTCTACCGACCCAGCGCCGGTGACTTGGTCACACGGATCGCTGGACGCGCAGGATGTGTGGTCACGGCTGGCGATCGACGTGACTCACTTTCCGGGGCAGTGCTACCTCTCAGTAGTGGACTGTGGGCCATCATGTGGGCAATTCCACAGGTGCATCTGTGGAATTGTTGTGCGACAATGACACCGTCTTTCGAAGCAGGCAGCTTCAGGCATTCGCGGCACGATGGAGTATTCGCCTGCGGTTCCGAGCCGTGCGTGAGCCCGGCGGCAATGGCATTGTTGAGCGAAATCATCGCACTGTCAAGGTCATTGCCGCAAGGAAGCAGTGTTCTGTCGCCGAGGCGGTGCACCTGTCGAACGTGACGCCGCGTGACGGTGAGACTGCGGCCAGTGCGCCGGCGGCCGCTGTCTATGTGTACCCTGTGCGGCATTGTGTGCGGTCCGCTGCTGATCAGCCGGTGATTGTCGAGCCGCTGAGAACCATGTGAGACCGATCGGTATGCTGTTGGAGATCCTGTCTGGGTTCGTCGTCGGGGAACGCAGTGCACGGAGACGTCACAGCCAGGAGCCGGAGAGATTGCTGGTGCTGATCATTTTTGGGACGCTGCTGATGCTGATGATAGTGCCGGTGCGGCTGCTGATGATGGTACCGGTGTGACAGGCGACGGTGACGAGCGAGTGCTGCTGCGTCGGAGCGGACGAAAGCGAAGGCCCGTGCGGTTGTATACTTGTCGATCATTAGGATCAGGGTGGGGTGTTTATAGTGCAGTTGTACTTGGTGTCCTGCGCCCCTGCTGGGGCGGGGCGCGGCGGAGGCGCGCCGCCGCCGCAGTGTCGAATGTCAGGTTCGCAGCCCGGCACCGGCTCGCGGCCCGCGCTGTCGGCAGTCGCCGTGGGGAGAGCAGAGAGGGTGGGTGCACCGTCAGGGGCTGCTGTGGCGCGATACTAAAATACAGAGAAGTTTTGGTGGAATACTTGGCGTCTCATTACATATGCGAACCACAACGATGAAAAGGGAGCGGTCCTTTAAAAACACGGGCCCCGTCGGAGTATGGACTTGTTCAGGCCGTAGAGTGACAGTCGGCTGTCGGAGGTACATTAAGACGGACACGGTGATGGGAGGCTGCATCGACCTGACGGGCCAAGTGGGCCAAGCAGCCAACGGTGTTCGGCCAAACAGCCAACAGCATCACCACCTCCAATTTGCCATTAAAACCAAGATCCCAGTACGACGGCACGACCTATTCCCCGAGGCCTCAGCAAAGCTAGAGACATTTCTAAAATCGCAGGATATCACCAAATACCCGTATAACTCTCTGGACAAAAAGTCTCTAGCGACTTGGAAACAAACGCGCGCGGCTCTGCGAGCGCCGCTGCTGCTCCAGGCTATCAAACGCAGGTCGGCGCGGGCGGGGCCCGCTGGCGGTGCTCCAAGTGGGCAGCTCCATTCGTGACAGCGTGCGTCAAATGTGGCGGTAGCGCCCCGAGTTTCGCGCAGCTGCAGCACGCGGCGGAAGTTTAGGGCTATCTAGCGTCGCCCGCGCACCCTGGCGGCGGGCTGGACGCCGAAAGGAAACACTGCCGGACGGCGGTGCGCAAGCGCGCCCGGCGGCGGCGGGGCGCGGGCGTGCTCGCCAGCGGCAGTGCGAGAGCGTGCCCGGTGCGCGGGGGCGCTCGCCAGCCGCGTTGTGCGAAGGTGCCCGGCGGCGGCAGTGTGCGAGGGTGCCCGGCGGCGGCCGTGCGCGGAAGCGTCCAGCGGCCGCTGTGCGCGACGGTGCTTGGTGGCGGCCGTGCTCCAATGGTGCCCGATGGCGGGGCGCTCCGCACCCGCAGTGGTCCTGCCTTCTGTGCCAGCTGATAAGCGGACAGAGTTGGCATGGCGCCATGCGCGCAAGCGCAGTGACATGACCGTCCGGCGACAACACTCCGTCAAAGGTGGGCAGGGCCGCGACGGCATCAGGGGTGCAGCCAGGGCCTCGGCTAGGCGAGGCCGGAGGCATTAATGGAGAGGGTTGACAAAGGACCCCTGACAGTAAAAATAGCCGGATTGGGCACATTAGTTAATGAGGGCATACTTTTCCTTGTTTTTATTTTTACCTTGTAGAACTGACAGAAGCCAGACATTTTTGCGAGATCAGTTTTGCAGGAATTGTGTAGTCAATAATCTGAAGAAATCGTGCGTTAAGCGCGTGCATGAATTAAATTGCCGGCGCCCTTCACTTCCCCACAGTTCAGTGCAGGGGCATCACGCGGTATACTTTCGGAGGAGCATCAGCCCCCCCCCCCATGCTCCCTTGAGTCTCTTCAATGCACATGAGCGAAGAGAGAATACTGGGCTGAATAAATTAGCAATTGATATGCTAGGCAGTGGTTCCTAAACACATCACTACTGGTACCATCCTGATCTTATACCAAACAGTATCATGCAGGTACCTAATGTTTTTGTCGTGCTAACACGGCCAAGTCTTTCATATGCTGAGCCAGTCTGCCAATGTTTGACGAATTTTTTGAATGATTTCGCCTGAGTTGGGATGAGGACCAAATGACGGCCATATGCGGCAGCTTTGGAGAGTGCGAGTTGGCCCAGTTAAGCACGTTTTCCCTAGCAGTGGCATATTTGCCAAAGGCACGACTCAGTCGGAATCACGGCCGCGGCGCCCAGTGGGCCTTAGTTAAGGTCTATTGAACTGTTTTTTCTATGAGTTACGGCCCTATCCAAACTTTTTACAAAAAGGCAGCTCGAATTGTCTTAAAGCGAGAAGTCATTCGCCCGCAGGAAAACGATTTTGAATCCGCGATTTTGTCAAATTCAAGTCGAGGACGGAAATTCAGGCAGCCCAACTGCGAGGAGAAATCGGGTCTCGGGGATTGGTTTGGTCAGCCTTTTCGGCCAAGCCCCCCCCCCCCCAAATGTCTTCCGAAAATTACTCCGCCGGTCCAGTGAACTCATTCTGATTTGATGGAGTTTGAAAAGCTTGGCCAGAGTTTTTATGTGGTTTCTGCAGAGATATTACGGACCCCGCGAATTTCTATTGTATCGACACTGATCGATAAATTGTGTCAACACGGCCAAGCCATGTGTTCCTGAAAATGTTTGCCTGTAGACAACTAAATAGCGGATCGTCTGGCATCAAACATTTATATACGCGATGTAAGGCCGCCGACCTATGGCAGGTCAAAGTTATGTCATGGCTTCATCGGAGGCAATTTTTAGGGAATCGTTTAGTCTGATCGAACAACTGAGTGTTAAGCAAAGCCGTACATCTCTGAAATACTTTCTTAGGATACACGACAATTGAATAAGCAAATTAAATCGACCTAGGGTCAGGTGTGGAGGTCAGACCATGGCCAGGACCAACCGTTTTTGTTCCTCAAGGGCTTGCTGTGTGGGACAGTTTCTGGGGCTCATTTCAAATTGTTTGATAACAGAAACCACATTTTACACCTTCCATGGACTTCTTAAAGGTCAGAATAAGTAACTGATCTAAAATGACCCAGGCCAGCATTTTTTTTAGGAGTTCTCTGCCTAGCGTAATCTTCGTCGCTTATCCAACTGCAAAACTCAAGGCAGTCTTGTATGATTTTGGTCGCCATGGCTTTCAAAAGGTCAAACAAGGCCACTGATTTCAAATGAGCGTGTGACCTTTTGCTTAATAGTTATCTAGGTTCCAGGGGCCCTTTGGAGACTAACCTGGAATTTGACCTTGTTTGACCTTATTTAAGTCAGAGGTCATGACCTAGAAACCTCGAACTTTGACCTAAGTGAGTTAATGTGCAGGTCAACACACCCTGTGAATTTAGCGTCTCTAGCTCTCTTAGTTCTTGAGGTCTCGGCGAATGAAATTAACCCCTTCCCCTCTCCCACCAGAGCGAAGGGTTTTCAACCGGCCTCCCGTGCGCCTGTTAACTTCGTAAACCCCGCTGTTTTTCGCGCAAACCCCTTGAAGCCCAGGCCTGCATAAATGACATTTATTGCCCCTCGGGCACTTGGGCTTCGATATAGGATATTTCATCTTAGACTTTGTTTAGCTTCTTGTTCGTCGAAGCTATGCGTACGCACAGTTTGGATTTCCTAACGATAAATTTGATTTTCAAAGGGAAGTGCTCATCTGTGTTAGGTAGTGTTCAGAATCCGCCGGTTGGCGGGGCGTGTTCCCGTTTCCTACCATACATCCCCCTACGTGCTCTAGATGTTTTGACCTCTTCCAACATTCAACTTAAAGGTCGTGGAGAACATCATTTGCCCAACAGCTAGGTCAACATTGCTATGCTCTTTCCGTTTTTTTTACTGCTTGATAAGTTACTTAGAGCCATGTGGAGTGTATTTCAAATTATATTGTGTTTAGTGGAAGTCGTATGCGCAGATTCGCAGTGCAGAATCATACCAGTGTTGTTGGGCTTGATCACAGCTTCGTTTCTAACGTTGTACGGTTGTTCCTCTTTTCTACCGTCACTAGTGTATCCATATGCGGACGCGTTTTCTGTATGGTCCATTGTAAAGGCTGAATTGGGTGAATAAATTGTCTTAACACTGCCTGACATAGACGAACACTTGCTCTGGAAAATTCAACATATCCTTAGAAAATTAAAACTGCGCTCACGCATAGCTTAAAAAACGACAAGGAGCTAAATAACTCTCTAGTTAAATATCTTATCTCAAAGTCTAAGTGCCCCTGGTGCAATAGGCGTCATATATGCCTGGGTTTTAGGGGGTTTGCACGCGAAGAAATGGGTTTACGAATTTAAGCGTAAAAGATGCGCGAAACACATGGGAGGTACAAAGTCTATGTTGAGAAGTCCATGCGTCCTGCTCGTTTCAGTTGTGATGAACACCTGCGAAATGCTAAAAACAGCGAAACAGAGAGAATAAAAGGAACCATTCGGCGACCATCCTTTTGACAGAACACGCTGAGGTTAAAATCTTGGGAAGTACGGACCATTTCCTTTTTGAGCTCAAAGGTATCTTCAAAGCACGGGACCATCCAGGCAGGAAAAATGGTGAATCTATTTTTTAAGAAGCTGGCGACCAGGCTTAAATGTACAGGACTCATCATGAACGATTATGCGAATGTGACTAGTGTCTTGATGTGTTATACATGCCGGCTTAAAATCGCTTTCATGTATCAGTGTTGCCTGACGCTTGATACACGATGTCTGTTTAATTGAAATCGTTTGCATGTTAAAGTGATGAGTGATGAGAGATGCCTGTTTACTTGAAATCGCTTGCGGAAGTAGATGATGTGTTATGCGTGAGGCATGCTAACTTGAATTCGTTTGCATATACACATATTTGCGCGTGTTTTAATTCTCAGCTAGATGTGCACAGTATCGCGGAAATGACTGGCATTTGCTCCTTGTTTAATCCCCTGCATGTTGGTGGTCTGTAAAAACTGTGGCTAGCTGTTTTTGAAGAGAAAACTGCAGCGTCGAGTGGAATCGGCAGACAAATTTGACTTTGCTTCGGTTATTCCTTTCGATAAACGCATATAGCCGAAATATCACATCTTTCTCTTGATTTTCCTCTTTGTTCTTTGAGGAATAGAGCTATTAATAATGTTTTATCTGCATGCATAATGTTCCTCACAAATGCGCGTTACAATTTGCGAAGCGCTGCCATCATGTCGATAATGATGGCAGCATGCCTTCTACGTAACAGTTTAAACGTAAGGTAGCGATTCTGTCCAGTCACCAAGATCAGTCTAGACCAACGTCATGCCATAACGCCAGGTCGTCTTCAGTCACAACTGCGTTGGGAGCTATGGCTAAATGTCTATCCTGTGAATGAATCGTGCGCAGGGTTGATGTGTGGCCGTGTATGCAACTCCTGCAACGGGAAGAGTGTTCATTGCAATTGTCGAAGGGCGGGACCACCAACATCGTCTCGCTTGCATAGGATTGTGTCGCCACAGACTCGCCCTGCGGCCGAGTTTCTCTGTTGCCGGCGTAGTATCACATGCCTGCCGCCGTCGGCAACAACAAAGCCCGCCCCCGTACCCACCCGGGAGCAGGAAACAAACTCGAATGTGAAGTGAATCTTGGCTGAAAAATGTGTGAAAAGCACTGATCTGAGGAACATCAGAAAAACACTGTTACCACTGATCTGTGACGTCAGCACTGATGTAGTATAGTTTGTGGTATGTTTCTGTCACCTGTTTAAAACTATCCCGGTTAAGGCTACTATGTTTGACAGCATATTATGGCTCAACTGGCTCACACAGCGAAGCATCAACGTTTTAACATGTACTCTAAACATGCTCACACTGTAAGTGTTAGCGTACAGACCAGTGTTAAGCTTTGGGGTTTGTAAAGTTGGTAGGATCTGTTGAAATATGGTATGATCTGTCGAAATTTGTTTTGATTTTCGCAATCTTGTCAGCAATTGGTTCGTAAAAGTGTCAGGTTCTGTCACCGATCGTATCCGGTAAATCAAGAGCTTTATTCACCACTGTGTCGTCGAACATACCTTTCCCTACGTATATTTTCCACGCCCAAACAGCTGGGTCTTCAAGATGCAGGCTTTAGAAACACAACGCAAAAAATAATGAGTAAATCGATTCCAATGTTGACAGATTGTGGTGGCGACCGGCAACAATATATGCCGGGTCGTTTAACTGGAGTGGGGTCAGGTCATGCTCCATGTGTGGCAAAACTTTTCGCTGATTTGAACACAAGACAAACCCATGTCATCCAGAGCGAAGTTCTGAACTTGTATATCCAATGTCTTAAAACCCTGAAAGAACAAACCATTTTGACCCGGTGCGGCTCCGTGAGATGTGACATGCTACCGTTGCCACGCCTCTGTCTGTCCCGTGCCCAGTGACAGCCGCGGACTGACGATGATGAGGGGCCTCGTCAGTGGCTCACGGTGACCCGACCTGACATGATCTGACTTGCTGTGTGACCTGTGTGCCCTGCGGCGGTTGCAGGCTGGTGGATGAGGATGGGGTCTCGACAGTGGCTGACGCTGCTGTTCACTGCTGTCGCCGGCACGCTGCTGGTGCTCCTTCAGCTGTCCTTACGGACGCCGCTGCAGGACGTGGGGACGCTGTTCACGCCACCATCTCAGGTTGGAGTGCCAGCGCCACAGGAAGCGAAGGAGGCAGGGTTTGTAGAATGTTTCAGTTTTACAGGTTTGTTCACTTTACATGGGAGGCATGAGTTGTTTTGGCTCCATGCTTATCAGTTGGCCTAACCTGTCCTCTGTTGGGGATTGGGATGACCTCGTGCCGTATGATGGACCATGATTACCATGCCGTGAAACCAGAGAATGCATGACATCAAAACAATCCAAAACTGGGCAGGGAGCATCTGAGCACCGTGTGCGGAAACACAGTAATCGTATCATACTGATAGTAAGGGTATATTTCGTAGCCGCTGCATGGTTATAAGTTATCATAATATGAACAGGCGTTGCATGCACGACACAAATATTAAGGGAGATTACAACACTTATACAGACATGTACTATGGAGGTACTAATATTAAGGGAGATTACAACACTTATTCAGACATGTACTATGGAGGTACTAATATTAAGGGAGATTACAACACTTATACAGACATGTACTATGGAGGTACTAATATTAAGGGAGATTACAACACTTATACAGACATGTACTATGGAGGTACTAATATTAAGGGAGATTACAACACTTATACAGACATGTACTATGGAGGTACTAAAACGTCCGTTTAGAAGCTCGTCGCCGCCAAGCGATACGCGATAAGTGACACGCAACTCTATCAGGACGTGATATCTTAGCTGGCGAATAATGCTACCGTAGCTTTATATCGATGAGCAGAAACAATTACACAAGACAGCCTTTGAGGGCTCAAATCGCAATGTCCTCAAAGGTTGATGAAGTATCATTATCGTGACTTTGATTTGAAGCGAGGCTGTCTGTTGCCTAGGAAACAGTGTAAGGTGAAATGCAGCTGGCCCCATGCAGTTTGGTACAGGTCAAACAGTGTAAAACCGTGAATAGACGTGGACCAATCTCATGCAAGTAGCAGTTAAAGAACGTCTGGGATAAGAGAGATAGCGCTCATGTTCAGTGGAGTGATTAATCTGCATCCCGCTCACGCCCAACGCCGTGCCCTTTGTTGCAATTGCTGTTCCCGTGCACGGTCGCTCCACTAGGGGGCCTGCCCACACCCTCCGGGTCCACTAGGGGGCCTGCCCACACCCTCCGGGTCCACTAGGGGGCCTGCCCACACCCTCCGGGTCCACTAGGGGGCCTGCCCACACCCTCCGGGTCCACTAGGGGGCCTGCCCACACCCTCCGGGTCCACTAGGGGGCCTGCCCACACCCTCCGGGTCCACTAGGGGGCCTGCCCACACCCTCCGGGTCCACTAGGGGGCCTGCCCACACCCTCCGGGTCGAGCGCCCTCGGGCTAATGCCAGGTAGTTGTTCAGCTCCTGGTATGACTTTTTGCCATTAGGTAGAAGACATCCAGCAACGCCGCGATAATGGGGCGGTCTGCCGTTAGGGATTTGTTCCAGACTTTCCCGTTTGCCCAGCTTGTGATGCCGCCGCCAAGCGCTGCGCTCATACGCCCACAACCAATCCCGTCAACAATGTCGCCACACAGTCCAGGGAATGGGCATCATGCCCGTGTGGAGTATGCCCGTGGACATGAGAGTGCGTCATGCCCTTGCGAGTGGAGTATGAGGTTGGTCCGGCGCTGAGGCTCGTTGGATTATGCTAGGTATGCGGTCTGATACAAGTAGAGGTCGGCTGCGAGATGGGTGTGCTACATCCCAAGAGCATTGAGAGCCCTTTCGAGACGCACAATCGTAGGCAGATGGATATCTAGCTGCGAGTCCACCATCGGCCCAGTCACCATCAGTGTCTTAGGCTTCAGGGCAGGGCCGCCAGCGGTTGGTTTGGCTGAGGATGGAAACAAGTCCACGTGGCCGACTTTTCAGTCTTGTGGACTTCCGACAGTCATGCCGTGTTTCACTACTGACTGAACCTAACAGCCGTGGACTGTCCGTGAGTCGCAGCAGACAGAACCTTTGCCGGGGGCAGAACCTTTGTCGGGGGCCGAGGTGCGTTCAGATTGGAAGCGCCATGTAGTGCTGCAGCTGCATAGCCTGGTGGGTGAGCTGCAATGGAGACACCTCACTATTGCCGTTCTGCTGCAAAGGTTGTGCTCGAAAGGCGCCACGTCATACCAGGAGCTGAGAGATTACATGAAGACAGTCAAAACGTGCCCGACCAGAAGCATATGAGTGAAATGGGTCTTGAAGCTTACACTGCTATCGCTCATGCTCCTGCGCAGAGGGCGGGACGACACTTCATCCTTCAGCCCTGTCTCAAGGCAATGCTGCCGTATTTCTTCGTGGCAGGTCAGTTGTGCTTGCTAACTGGGATGACATGTGAGACAGATGAAGTACCTTCCCGAGCTTGCCAGGGAGGAACTACTGACGAGCGCCCACGCCTAGTGACACTCGGGACAGCGAGCCCGACATAGTGACACTCGGGACAGCGAGCCTGACATAGTGACACTCGGGACAGCGAGCCTGACATAGTGACACTCGGGACAGCGAGCCCGACATAGTGACACTCGGGACAACGAGCCCGACATAGTGACACTCGGGACAGCGAGCCTGACATAGTGGCACTCGGGACAGCGAGCCCGACATAGTGACACTCGGGACAGCGAGCCCGACATAGTGGCACTCGGGACAGCGAGCCTGACATAGTGACACTCGGGACAGCGAGCCGGACATAGTGACACTCGGGACAGCGAGCCTGACATAGTGACACTCGGGACAGCGAGCCTGACATAATGACACTCGGGACAGCGAGCCCGACATAGTGACACTCGGGACAGCGAGCCCGACATAATGACACTGGGACAGCGAGCCCGGCGTAGTGACACTCGGTACAGCGAGCCCGACATAGTGACACTCGGGACAGCGAGCCTGACATAGTGACACTCGGGACAGCGAGCCTGACATAATGACACTCGGGACAGCGAGCCTGACATAGTGACACTCGGGACAGCGAGCCCGACATAGTGACACTCGGGACAGCGAGCCTGACATAATGACACTCGGGACAGCGAGCCTGACATAGTGACACTCGGGACAGCGAGCCCGACATAGTGACACTCGGGACAGCGAGCCTGACATAGTGACACTCGGGGCAGCGGGCCCGACATGGTGACACTCGGGACAACGAGCCTGACATAGTGGCACTCGGGACAGCGAGCCCGACATAGTGGCACTCGGTACAGCGAGCCCGACATAGTGACACTCGGGACAGCGAGCCTGACATAGTGACACTCGGGACAGCGAGCCTGACATAGTGACACTCGGGACAGCGAGCCCGACATAGTGACACTCGGGACAGCGAGCCCGACATAGTGGCACTCGGGACAGCGAGCCCGACATAGTGACACTCGGGACAGCGAGCCCGACATAGTGATACTCGGGACAACGAGCCTGACATGATGACACTCGGGACAGCGAGCCCGACATAGTGACACTCGGGACAGCGAGCCTGACATAGTGACACTCAGGACAGCGAGCCTGACATAGTGGCACTCGGGACAGCGAGCCCGACATAGTGACACTCGGGACAGCGAGCCTGCAGTGCCAGGAGGTCAGATGTTGTTTAACCTCGGTCATCTACTGTACCACGTCGTTTGGCCGGTTCCTGGGACCGCAGAGGGCATAACCGAAAGTTGGGAGATTCGAATGGCCCACTGCACTCCTATCCCCCTCCCATCCCCCCCTGCGAAGAAGTTTCCCCGTGACCTCCCCCCCCCTGCGAAGAAGTTTCCCTGTGACCCATCCCCACCCCGAAGAAGAGAAGGTCGAGATATTGTCATCCTCGGTTTGAGGAATGACGCCTCCACTAACACACCGGTCGTCTCAACAGCGGCAGCTACTCCCGAAGCGCTCCTGGACGTAGTGGCTTGCAGTGCACGGCTGAAAATAAGGCATGCTGCGTCGCAACGTAGGACTCTGGCTTACAGGCTACTGCAAGCGTTGGGAAGAAATCGCATGCTTTAGCCATCGCATCAACAAGCAGATGGTTACTGCGCTAAAGGGCTTTTAGATGTTGTAGCACTGTATGTCAAAGGTCTTTCCCGAGTTTGAAATTAAACCTCTGATTTGGCGTTGAATTGGACCTCGTAGCCAAAAAAAGTCGAGAAATGGACTCGGCATCCATTATGACCCCCACTCAGGTATATTACACGACCATCTATATCATCCAGATCAGAATGGGAAAATTAACTATGATGAGGATGGTGGCGACCGCCATCTTAAATTTTTGGAAGTGCTCAAGGCTGCACAAACCGCTGGATGTTGTGCGCCGCCGGCTGCCGCTGTCGCGCATCCCCACAAGAGCAAATTTATAAAGAGGAGCCCATTGGCCAGCATACGAGTTAGATGATGTCAGCACACGACCCGGCACGCGTGACTCCAGTACACCGGACATCAACACACACTCATGTGAGCCACAGAGCTAGGATGAAGCGGGTGACCGGGGCATTGGCGGGATGATGGGTCCGCTCAGACATCATGATCAACTGTCTCCCCGCACGTGGCTGTACGCCGTTAACCACGGACCCCCCCCCCCCCTCCCCCCTCCACCGCGACCTTTTTAGCTTATGATAATATTTGAACGGCGCAAAAACGGAGGCGGATGCGCTGATATTGCGTCCATCTGGCAAGGGCCACACGCACTGGCGAATTATATTGGCAAGGACCCGCTGAATAATAACGCTGGGAGACCCCTCCCCTCGGCCTTAACTAATTCACGCAGGCTCCACGCAACCGGTGCCCCATCACACTCACTCCAAGCATACACGCACTCTGGCGCCCACGTCACCTCACTCATCCTTGGTTCGTCCACGGATAGGACCCCCCCCCCCCCCCTTCCAGCGCCTTGGCATTATAATTGGCCCGTCTGCGTGAGTCCTCTTTTAGTTAAACTCATTTATCACATTTCAGCGTTCAATACAGCCACGTTTAAGCCCTGTTTAAAATATATCCCGTTACTTTGTCAGCTCGGCGCCGACGCAGCTGCTGGGCCGACGTCAGGTGTCCGAAGCTGGGCGGCGACTCGTTCCCTCGCCTGACCTCCAGGCTGACGGCTCCCTGTTTGGACGACGCTCCTCGCGTTTTGTCCACGGTGGGCAGCCCATCATCGATTCGGCCACGTTCACCGCTCGCAGCTTTCCGCTGCCGCGCACGCGCCTCAGACATCGCCTCGCCCAGCACTGAGATGACGCCTGCGGCGCTTCTGTGCCCTCGCCTGCCGCCTGCCGGAGCGAGCTTCACAAGGCACCGCCCCACGGCGCGTCCCTCAGGGGCCTGGAGGTAGGCAGCGCGCCCGACGGGACGGTGGAGCCCACCGGCAGACGACGGGCGCCCGGCGCGACCTGCGTTCATTCCTTACGGTCTTCTCAGCCGGCGCGCTTTGGAGACTCGACCTGACTGGCCTGTCTGACAACCGGGTTTCTTGTCGCCCTTCCTATGAGCGTCGATGGTGGGATCTCGTTCCGTCCCGAACATTCCGCCATCAAGCACTCATGGGGCCTGACGTACACAACGTTGGAAGAGAGCAGGCTATGTCCTCTTCTCTTCCAAGGCATGGTACACCAACGGATAGTTCCCACTACCGCCGTGCACGGTCTGGCATCCCGGGCGGTTTCCACAGGTCCTGGGTCATACCATGACCTATGCTTCTTTATGACGTCATGCCTGGGGTCAAGTGAGAAACAACAAGAGTTAGCCGTCTCGTAGTAAAAAGGGAGCGAAACTATGCCTTGAGTCCCGCTGCCCACAAACATATATCTGCGTGAGAGCAGGACTGCGGTCGTCTGACCCCTCGACCCTGCCGTAGCCGCCTCGTGCTGCTCAGGCGCGTTCCACGCCTATCACTCCTGGGTTACGATCCCTGTGTGACTCGATCCTTGGGAAAAGGGTGGCATATTGCGTACCGTACGAAAGTCTGACAGCCCGGCGAAAGTTGACAACTTCGATTCCAAAACAAAATGTTCTGCTTAAACAAGGCAATGAACCCGTTATCCGGAAAAGCAACAAACAAACAGAAAAACAATGTACATGCGGACGAATATCATGCAGAATCAGTTAATAAATCGGATCGGGCCAGCGATAAAGTAAACGCAACGCGCGCATGATGAATCCTTGCGGGTGTGCTGGACAGGGTTCGGCAAGAGTTCCGCCGCCCCGAGCAATCGGAGGACAAGATAAGAGAACGCGAAGTGTCAAACCGAAATAAGGTGAAAGGTCCAGGTAGCTAACAGACTACGTCACAGCAGAAGGGAGGCCTTCATGAGCATGGCGGGGTGGCCCGTACGCCGCGCCTGGCCGCGACACGGGAAAGACGAGGGCCATGACGAGCCGCTGCGCCTCCCCAGGGCCGCTTCCAACGGAGAAATCAGGATAGCCTCGGCGCGGCTACCGGGCGACCCGTCGCACCGAAGCGCGTGTTAACGGCCCCGGTCGCCATGCCCACCCGCGCCGGGCGCGAGTGTCCTTTCGCCGTCTGAACGAATCACTCCAGCCTCGCCTCCAAACCAAACCATTTAACACGCAGACCGCTACCTGTATTTACAAGATCACTTAGACATGGACGAACCACGTGACCTGTCACGTCCCCGCCTTAATTATCGGAGTGGGTTCGAGACACATTGCCCGTCTGGGAGGGTCGCATGGCCAGTGCCCCCCCCCCCTCCCCCTCTCTACCTACACGGGAGGGAACAGATGGCCGTGGCCCGCGCCCGCCCGGTGGGAGGCGTTAAGGGACACGGGAGCGCCAGCCGTCCATGGCCCGGTAAGGGTGGGGACAGCAGCCTGCAGGCTCACACGTGCATGTTGACGCCGTGTCCCGTTGTCCGCGGAGCCAGATGTCGCCGCCTGCTTGTCACAGCCCTTCTCCGCGCTCCTCGCTCCTCGGAACTCCCCGGAAGACCCCCTCTCTGGACTCTCCACCTCCCCCTCCCGAGAGATTTCTCGCCCTCTACAACTGGGTCGGCCTGCCCTCGTTTTCTTCCGGGGTTGAATAGTTTTGCCGCCTCACACCATCCGCCCAATGTGTTGCCGGGCCGACCTGGCCCGCTACCGGAGCCCTGCCTCCGACGTCCCCTGGGCCAGGTCTCGGGCGTGGCGTCGCTAGCGACGGTGCGAGGCCCGCCCGCTCTCGCCTCGGGCGGGCCCCGCGCGTCCCCCTCTGGCCCAGTTCTCACGTGGCGTGGTGCGTCTGATGCCCGCTGGGGCGGCGGCGGCGCCAGCGTGGCGGGGTTCCTGGGGCGAAGCGACAAACATCCTCACATGTTATCTGCACATTCCTGTGTGCATGTTGGGTCGCTGGTAACCTGGCTCTTCCATCCATTTCTTTTGATGCGGTGGACCCCTTTGACAGATGGGAGCGCCGTTAAGGCCGTACCAGTGAGGAACACCTGGCGTCGCTTTGTCGGGGATTTGGTCGGCCTGCTCGCCGTCCCGTGCTCCACTGGGGAAACCTCACCGATCCCGGACGGGTGGCGCGCTAAGTGGAACGTAAGAAAATGTATGCCTTCACCTGCATGTCTCAAAAGGCTCCGTGATGACCAGGAGGGAACTGGGCATGGGCCGTTGTTAACGCTTGACTCGACGCCTTTACACGCTGCATCATAGAACGTCAAGCCGTCCTGTTAACTTTACGCTTATACGATACAAGCCTCTGGAGCAATCACGATAGCGACGATAATGATGCAGCAAACGGTGAGCAACGTTTTCGTTTTTGTGACGGTAGACTGGGCGGTAGAGTTGAAGCCTCATTACAGTTCCGAAATCAGGACTTATCGCTGCGCGCGGACGTAGGCCACCAAGGACCGGTAGAAATGTTTCGATGACACGATAGCACCTGCCGATATCCCTTACATACGAAGTAATGAAGATATGGCTAGACGGATGCGATGTAAATGACTATTAATTCTTAAAACAAGTCAAGACTAGTCAAAGTAAGCCGTAGATTGACACCGTTCCGAAAATCGACTTGCCATAGCTGCGTTGACTTTGCCACCGTTGGTGCGGTTGGTTCCCTTAGGTCAAAGTAATTGTGTACGTATGATTGTGTACCGAAAAAATGAACCCCAGCCAAATGTGTGTGTCTGCTAAAGTAGATGGACCGATGTCATTGGTGGTGTCGGAAGCAGAACGTGGATCACTGCATTGTAACAAAGAAATGCGCAATATTGCATCACACAACTGTCAAAAGGAACAAACAGGGACCATAGAGGTGCGGAGGGATAGGGCAGACGACAGAGAAGCCGCTTCATTACTTCTCCGCCCTCCCTCCAGAGAAAAACTGAGTCGCAATTGCCGCATGGTCATAGTCAGAGTGGTCAGCTCCATCCACGATCAGATAGATATAACGTCGTACATAATGTGTAGCATAGAAGGAAGCGTGGCCCGAACCACATTCGCCACGAATTCAGACTCAGAGTCAATCTCATCAATCGCAACTTCGGCCAAACGCCGACGGGCTTCAGTTCTGAATGACGGCCGCCGAATGGCGGTGTTTGGACATCACGAGCGGGCGTTTGAGGCGGTGTTTGGACATCACGAGCGGGCGTTTGAGGCGGTGTTTGGACATCACGAGCGGTGGTTTTGGACATCACGAGCGGGCGTTTGAGGCGGTGTTTGGACATCACGAGCGGGCGTTTGAGGCGGTGTTTGGACATCACGAGCGGGCGTTTGAGGCGGTGTTTGGACATCACGAGCGGGCGTTTGAGGCGGTGTTTGGACATCACGAGCGGACGTTTGAGGCGGTGTTTGGACATCACGAGCGGGCGTTTGAGGCGGTGTTTGGACATCACGAGCGGACGTTTGAGGCGGTGTTCGGACATCACGAGCGGGCGTTTGAGGCGGTGTTTGGACATCACGAGCGGACGTTTGAGGCGGTGTTTGGACATCACGAGCGGGCGTTTGAGGCGGTGTTTGGACATCACGAGCGGACGTTTGAGGCGGTGTTCGGACATCACGAGCGGGCGTTTGAGGCGGTGTTTGGACATCACGAGCGGGCGTTTGAGGCGGTGTTTCGCAGGTTGCTCGCGAGCCGCTGCGGTCGGGGGTTTGGGCGTGGCACGTGGCGGAAGGGTCGTTTTTGGCCCATTGGCTTTGCACGGGCGGCCCAAAAATATGACCGACAGCCTACCAGCAGCCGTCAGAAACTGTGGCCACATCTCAGCAACCAGGGGTCGGCGCGACAGGAAATTGACACACTTAGGTTAATAGTCCAACAGGGCATCATTTGTGTTACACGTGCGGTCGCACGTGCCCTGTGTAAAGTGCACGGCAGCGACCGAGAAGGGTTTGTGTAGTTTATACGGCTTTTCACGTCTCATACTGGTCTCGGCAGCCAGAGCGCATAGATATGCGAATCTAATTTCAACGTATCAGACGGCGTACCGTCATCAATTCATGTGGCCAACACCAGTTTGTGTTACGCACAGGTGCGCCAGTAGTCTTAAGTTTATGTTACGCACAGGTGCGCCAGTAACCTTAAGTTTGTGTTACGCACAGGTGCGCCAGTAATCTTTAGTTTGTATTACGCACAGGTGCGCCATGTTATCTTTAGTTTGTGTTACGCACAGGTGCGCCAGTAATCTTTAGTTTGTGTTACGCACAGGTAGGCCAGTAATAGTAAAGCAGGCAGAGAATGTCGTCATTTAACAAAAAAAAAACAAACAAAAACAAAAACAAAACAAAAACGATGCCGAGTACAGCACGCTGTCGGAGCTGTGGGCTGGGCTGAGGTGAGATTTATATCTCCGTATGCGCCAATTTTCGCACAGAATTGACCCAGGACCACACAATTCCTCTTTTTAATAATCCACCCAAGCCTCTTGTTGCCACATGCCGCGTGCGCAGCAGCGGCCAATATTGATTTGCCCGCTCGTGACGGCTGCTCACGTCCGCCCATGGCTGGGCAGCCAGAGCGGGCAAGGACACGAATCCACTGTCAAAGCGTCGACCAGTGCACCGTCTGGAATTCATGTGGCCAACACAACTATGTACAAGGCAACGGAAACACGAGCAATCTTTGGGCAGTCCGGGAATGTCGGTGATTCGAAAGACGACGCGGAATACATTCCGCTGTCGTCGAAACTGCCACTCCGCTGACCGCTCACTCCGGAGTGCGAGGAAGTGCGATGACTGCTAAACAATGCGTCGCGCTGGTGTTTGCTGAAATGATAGCGACGTTTGTGGGTTGGTCGGATGTGTCACCAGGCTGATTGAGGCTCGGTTAGTTAAGTTCTTCTGATTTGCATGCCCATGCCCGCGTTCTATAACGTGTGGCCTGGAGGCGCTCAGACCTTGGCTACCTTACGCACCGAGTCTGTTGTCTGAGTGAGCATCGCCAATTTCGAGCGATTGCCGTATGTGACGCATGTTTCCGCAGTGCCGGTGCCCGATCCACGCGGCACCCTCCAAACCTCCTCCCTTCCAACCACAGACATGCAAAGGAGCTTTCTTACCAACCTTTCTTGACCATTTCATGTAGCTCTTCGACCGAAAGGCATTTTGCATTGTGACTTTTGGAAAGGCTGTGAAGTCCTCAGCTTGGAATGCAAAAACATACGCAGTCGATAATGTCACACTTAAAGAATAAAATGCAACACAACATACGGGCATATATTAACACACTCTCATGGGAGCCGCAGTGTTTCTGCTGACCGTTCTCATGAGAGCCGCAGTGGTCCGGCTGACCGTTCTCATGAGAGCCGCAGTGGTCCGGCTGACCGTTCTCATGAGAGCCGCAGTGGTCCAGCTGAGTGTTCTCATGAGAGCCGCAGTGGTCCAGCTGACCGTTCTCATGAGAGCCGCAGTGGTCCAGCTGAGTGTTCTAATGAGAGCCGCAGTGATCCAGCTGACCGTTCTCATGAGAACCGCAGTGGTCCAGCTGAGTGTTCTCCCAGTCGCCCCTGCGTGGCGTCCTTCGCCCCACCCGACCACGGCCCGGCACCAGACGCACGCCGGCCATCGTTCGCGAAGGTTTCTATCGATCCCGGGGACTCGCGGTTCTGTGACGTCACCCGCGCAGACAGGACGATTTGTTGGCGCGCACGATCAGAGCGTGCTGTGACGTCACCTGCGGGCAGGGGTGCAGGCAGGATACGGTGGGGGCGCGATCGGGACATCTAATTATGTGAAATTGCCCGCCGGCCACGGCCATGTGCCACTGCACGTTGAACCACTGAACACAGAGCAGCAGAACGCTGGTGCGTGACCAGGGACCACTCCACGTTGGCCCACGTGATGTTGGATGGACGGAGGCTGAAACCGCTGGTTATTGAGCCATGGGGATATTGGAACATTGGACATCAACAGCACTGGGTAGTGAACATAAGGGGCGTGTTTCCAGCGACCCTAACGACAAAGAATCCAGTCAACGACGCCATTATACATGACGTCATAACATGTGACGTAACGAATGGTGTATTTAAATCATGTCTTTTCGTGTGTATGTGTGTGTGTTGTCTTCTTCTATTGCGCCCGCTGCTCAGGAGGTCGCGCGGCGGCTTGTCACGTTGCCGTCAGCTGACCGGCCGGTTCGCATGACCGTATAGCCGGTCGATTAATGGCATCAACGATAATCCATTGGACATTAATCTCCACACAAACTGCCTCTAAAGGCAAAACAATGCTTGATTTCGAGGCACACACGGCACTTGGAATAGTAACAAAATAAACTAGATATGAAGACCGAAAAAACGCCTTACCAGCACCGAAATGTAACTGTGTTTGTAGTATTTTCCATTAGGGACGTTACTTTGTAAAGTCGCTTGGGCGGGCTGGGCCGAAAGGTTGCCCTAAGCCGCCCACAACAAAATATTTTCTATGGAATTGGACCATTGGGCTGCGCCTCCGTTGTAATTTTTTAAAATTTTATGTTTGTTTTGCCGCGGAGGAGTGGGCTTCCACTTCAAGGTGACGGGAATTCTGTTTGTGGAAAGCTCAGAATTGGAACTATTTTAGAGAAAAACAAACATTTTAGCAATCCGGGTCTTCGTGACCAAAGAACAAAGGCAGTCGTTCATCACCTAACTTGGCCCGTGGCGCAAAAAGACGGTTCATGTAGAGTGGTATGGCTTAACACGCACGGACGAAAGCCTATGGAACGTGTTTAAGTACGCTGCCACGATGTACACAAAAGTAAACCTGAACCTGCACGACATTCTCAACCAGCCTGCCGATAATTGGGAGGACAGAAGAGGTAAAGACTGGTGACCGAATGTGTTTCCAGGGTGGCTGTCTTACAAAGACACTATGTCGAACGCTTTCACACGTGTTGAAAGCTCTTATAGGCAAGCGAGATCTGAAATATTGTTGTTTCGGGGTGATGAGTTAGAGTTTTGTGTTGAAAAACGGCCTTCAGCATACCAGAGCGTAGTGGTTAAGCGACGCCATCAATTTTTGGTTGCATCAAGGGGGCTTGCCGTTCCTATGCTCATGATCTCATCTATGAAGCTATGCTTATGACTAGATCTCTTCTCAAATGTCCTTCAGCTAACCATTAAAATGAGAATAAGTACTTCAAGTTGATTTAAATAGTTTATGAATAGTCCTGTTCTCTCAGTTGAGTCCTGGGTTTTGATTTGTGTGCTGTCAACTTTATCTGGTGTCAACAGGCTGACACAAATGAATTGGACTAAAGCACAGATTGAAACCTGGCAAGGATAGGCTTAATCGTGTTTTATCACAACTGCTCCTGTCAAGAAACAGATGACGTGGACTGAAATGGTATTCAACATGCGGGCTACTCGTTGGTTAAGTTGGTTACTTGCGTGGTAAGTAGCAATAGAAAATCATTGACTTACAAATGCTGCTGTGCTACAAATATACTAAACAGCATAATGTGACGTTAGGGTTCCTTAGGTTAGGCTTCGTTAGGTTACTTTCATGGAAATTAGCAAAGTGTTCTGGAAGAAATAGTAGAATATTCTGGAAAAAGATTGCTTGAAAGAAATCTTCCGACCCATCTCAGCAGCAGCCAAAAGTACGTCTGTTATTGTTTGTTTGATCGGGTGATACGTTTTGTGCAGGAGCCCAATAATGCTTTTTTTGTTGGAATGTCTTATGCTTGTTTATTTTTATTTTTTGTTAAATTCTTTTTTTTGTTTTATGTTAAAAAATTATGTGGAAGAAAAGTACGGGGAATAGCATGAAATCATTGGTGTTACATAGTTTTTGGGCGCTTATTACAGTATTATGAAGTTACTATTCTTTAATATGTTTTGTTTCAGTGCATTGCCTAAGAGTGAAACACGTTTTGACAAGTTTATGACGTACGCCCATGCCAACTTGAAATGTATGCCTTTATTGCTGGAGCAAATGGGTTAAAGTGCCTTTGTGAATAATTGTCCTCCTGACGCATCTCTAATGGTTTTCATCACCCTAACTCAGAAGTGATTCTGCCTCACTGATTGTATCATCGATTCAACTCCCTGCACGTGGTGCAACACCACCACCCTTTTGGAAGAGTTTGCATACAGTGAATTTTGCAAGCACCCTCACCATGTGCTACGTTACTTCTCACCACTCAGTGTAATGTTCAGATTTGTCTCGTTAAGCCGTATTCCCTTCAACGCTCATAAACCGTATCGCTATGGTTCTCAGCGATGTGGAAAAAACAAAAAGCGTATTTTTTCGCGCTCGGCCCGAGGTGCATGTGCGTATGCGGCCGGAAGTATCATGGTGGGCTGAAAGTGTTTTTGTGCTTCAGCTGAGTGTCTCAAAACTACCATCCATCGCATACATATTTAATAAATCGCCTTGGCACTGCTCGGACGTGATACAACTCACTTCACTGCCGTGCATATATATGTATGTATGTACACCTATATATATATATATATATATATATATATATATATATATATATATATATATATATATATATATGCATAGGATGTAAATATATATTGACAATTACAAAATTAATAATAGAAGTCTTTTGACTAACACAGAGGTCTTCGCGACCCAGCAAAGGGCTTTCCTTTTCCAAAACATAGCCTCCGGGTCCAGTAAAGGGCTCACTGATCGATAATGGGCACCCTGTTTCAGATGAAAATCCTTTCGATTCACAACGAGTCCTCCAAGTCCAGTGCATGTCCCCTGCCTTCACACAAAACAGGGCCTCCTGAACTAGAGCACGATTATTTGGCTCATATCCGGAAGCGGTCTCATTATCCAGATAACAAGCTTCTTGATGCGAAAAGTCTTCTGAGCTTCATCAAGTACCCTCTAGCCCACTTATGAGTGCCTCCTTGATCTTCAGTTTGGTAATCCACATCAGTGAGCTATAAAGCCTTTGGCTTAGACAAAAGAAGCTTCCCAAATGTTTGAGGGTACAACAGTATCTTAATTTAGAAGATCGGGTTTGCTGCCCCTTGGTTGCCGTAGGGCGGGAGTAGGTGCCCCTTCTCCCCTCCATCTCTGATGCGCCGCCCCTTCGCTAGAGCCCGCTGGATCCGCTGGTGTGGAATACATACCCATCGTGCCGATTGCAGAACCAACATGGGACAATGAGATAGGCATTGCTCGAAGTGATGGCGACCGCGGCTGGCTGTTTTAGCGCAACTGAGTTATCTGAATTGAAAATGAAGTTCACGATAACGTCGGAATATGCTAACCCCACATCAGTTTCCTGCCGACTACCGGCTTTTAAACGTCAGATATTTAAACGGGGTGCTTGCAAGACAATCGCTTCTAGGACTCTGCGAAGTTAAAGAGGATGGAGAGAATAATGCTGCTTTCAGAGCGCCGCTCGCTACCGTTTGGCGGGAACGGCTGCTTCGTATGCAAGATCGGGTCCCAATGTGCCGATACTGCCGGGACGCCTGCCTTCTCCGGGTGCAGATACAGGCGAAATCAAGTTAAGTTGCCGCACGGTTCTGAGTCCAAAAACGCCTTCCAAGTCACCATTTCGCCTACCATGTTCTGCGAAAGTGTAAAACATGCTGAAAATCAACCGAACCCGATATATCGGTATCTTACGCTGAGTTGGCCCGTCCCGCCAAATGGTTGGTTGCACATGGTGACAAATGACAACTAGAGCTGATAATTCGTGTATGGAGGCTTGGAGTAGATTCAAAACGATTGGAGAGATGCGAGTCATCACAACCTGGATAGGAGAACTGAAATCTCGCAAATATAGCCTTTGATCGAAGAGGCTACGGTGGAATCCTCAAAGCCATGACTAAAATATGCAAACAGCTGCAAGTTCATGTGTTTTTGGCCGAAACTTCCTCCTATGCATTTTTAGACCCGATGTAGAGCTATTCCGTGGAAGAAGCATCGATAACCCTGGTTGGAAAAGGAATACATTTTTTATCAAGGCGGCCACTATTCGACGTCAAAGGTTTGTAATTTCGACGCAAAGATCAAATTTCGAATCGGAACCGAGTCTGAGTTTTCTCGCCTTAGGAACTGAATAACAAAATGCACGCGAATCCTCAGTTCCAGTGGGAATGGATTCTACCGCCGACCGACAATGGTGTTACCATTCTGTCCCGATAACAGTGATGGCCTACCGCAGACAGCAGCCATGTCGCCGTCCTGGACGGATGTGCCACATCGTGCGACGTCACAGCGGCGCTCCGTGAAGCTCTGACGTCATCCATCCTGTTCGCCCCACAGGGCTGTCCGACGTCGGCTGTGATCTCTGCCGACACACGAGGGCGCCTGGGGAACACCATGGGCGAATACGCTTCCATCTTTGCGCTTGCTCTTAGGTGAGTAACCTTTCCCTCCGCTCTGTAGCCTGCGTTGCGTAATAGCTGCACATCAAACTCAGAGCATAGAGCACATCTGTATCCGATCCAGTGAAATTCAGAGTGAAGTCAAACGTGTTGGCTCGTCTTTGCCTCAATTTATGTTGGCCCCTTTCGATACGTAAGCGGGACAAAGTGCACCAGCTGCATGCTTTTTGCGCGCACTGGTCAGCTGATGATTATCAAGGTTTTGATGCATAGTTAACGCGTGGTTGCGCGCAGTCGATGCACTCCCCGTCCAAAAGACCCCCACCTGCTCCCGTTCTGCGTCAGGCATGTTTTGGTGATATTTTAGCAAGTTTTGAGCATCGTCCGACAGCCCATAAGTACAATCGAGGATGCCAGATCGAGAATGCCAGATCGAGGATGCCAGATCGGCCAGTAGCCTCATGATCAAACTGCGTGCCAACGCAGCATCTGTAAATGCAAATACTCAGCGAGTCCTAGTAAAAGAGATAGAACCACCGACGCAATAGTCAGCACAGCGTAAAAACATTCCATGGGTTATCATTATCTGGTTAGGTCACCTGGCGCGTTGATGACACTCATCGGTATCGGATGCCAAGCATATCTGGCAACATGACTTTATTCTGTCATGGCAACGCGTCTTTAGTCTTGAGAATGACCTAGGTGATGGCGACTGACAGTTGACCGTGCCGGGTTTGGCGAGCCCGACCTGCAGTTTGTCCCCGATGAATAGGATTAGTTCAGAGGCAGGCCAAGCGCGTGCTCTGAGGAACTGCGCAAGTGGTCGCATGTGTCGCTTGTCATGCATGAAAAAGCCTCTGTATGTTATCATCATTATACCTTCTACCATGTGTACATCTGTATAGACTCTCGCCAGAAAGGTGTGGACCCCAGACATATACTACTGCTTGGAACCACTGCCCCCCCCCCCCTTCCGAACAGTTGACCCGGCATTGGCTGGGATCTGCAGCGGCACACCATTAGCCGGTGGGGGCAGATTTGATCTCCTACTTATATCAAGAACGGCAGGGCCGGATTCAAAGAATTCAAATCGCAATCGATAGGGCCGTGGCGTGCCGTCTCAGACCACACAACAAGCCGTGGGGTGCCGTCTCAGACCACACAACAAGCGGTGGGGTGCCGTCTCAGACCACACAACAAGCCGTGGCGCACCGTCTCAGATCACACAACAAGCCGTGGGGTGCCGTCTCAGACCACACAACAAGCCGTGGCGTGCCGTCTCAGACCACACAACAAGCGGTGGGGTGCCGTCTCAGACCACACAACAAGCCGTGGGGTGCCGTCTCAGACCACACACAAGCCGTGGCGTGCCGTCTCAGACCACACAACAAGCGGTGGGGTGCCGTCTCAGACCACACAACAAGCCGTGGGGTGCCGTCTCAGACCACACAACAAGCCGTGGGGTGCCGTCTCAGACCACACAACAAGCCGTGGCGCACCGTCTCAGACCACACAACAAGCCGTGGCGTGCCGTCTCAGACCACACAACAAGCCGTGGCGTGCCGTCTCAGACCACACAACAAGCGGTGGGGTGCCGTCTCAGACCACACAACAAGCCGTGGCGTGCCGTCTCAGACCACACAACAAACTCAAGTTTTAATATCAGCACGAAGCTTGTATTAAGATCATAGGTCAAGATCTTATAGAAAAATGTTACTTTGGAACGTTTGACCGCTTCCACAGCACATTTCGTCCAGAAACACATCGCATGTTGCGAAATAATTGCGCCGTTATCAAACAGGCTACACAGGAAGGCCTTCAATGTTACGCGCGCCGGGCCGGCCTAGAGCCAAGATCACGTGCCCTGCAGTTGAGGGCTGAAACCTTGATATGTATGCCTATTTTCGTCTATTTATTTCTGTCCCACTTGAACCATCTAAACGCAAGGTGCAAAACCTCATCCGTTATTATGGGTATGACTAGCAAGAGCTAGTACTTGTTCCGGTGGAGGATAAGGTGTTAGATCTATTTTCGCGTTGTTTTCGACGGTTCGGTCCCGCCTGTGTGCGAATGTGCGACCTGATACCCTCCAGCCCCACCACCAGTCACGTGAGTGTTAGTTTGCGTGCGAAACTGAGCACGGCTTCCGCCGCCCCTCCGTCGCGCCGCTGCGACGGACCTGAGCCCCGACGCCCGACGCCGCTGCGACAGACCTGAGCCCCGACGCCCGCCGCTGCGACAGACCTGAGCCCCGACGCCGCCGCCGCTGCGACAGACCTGAGCCCCGACACCCGCCGCCGCTGCGACGGACCTAAGCCCCGACACCCGCCGCCGCTGCGACAGGACCTGAGCCCCCGACGCGCTGCGACAGACCTGAGCCCCGACCCCGCCGCCGCTGCGACAGACCTGAGCCCCGACACCCGCCGCCGCTGCGACAGACCTGAGCCCCGACGCCCGCCGCCGCTGCGACAGACCTGAGCCCCGACGCCCGCCGCCGCTGCGACAGACCTGAGCCCCGACACCCGCCGCCGCTGCGACAGACCTGAGCCCCGACGCCCGCCGCCGCTGCGACAGACCTGAGCCCCGACGCCCGCCGCCGCTGCGACAGACCTGAGCCCCGACACCCGCCGCCGCTGCGACAGACCTGAGCCCCGACGCCCGCCGCCGCTGCGACGGACTTGAGCCCCGACGCCCGCCGCCGCTGCGACAGACCTGAGCCCCGACGCCCGCCGCCGCCGCGGGCCGGGCACCTGGGCACGGGCAACATGGACTGTAATGCATTTCAAGCCATAAGTCAGTCATTGTTACAAAAAGTTGCTTGAAACTTCATGAAAACTATAGTACTGAACTTTATTACTAAAACTTTTTTATACAAGACATCCGTCTTATTTGTACCTAGACCATGTTTTCATGTTTTTTTCTAAAAATTTCGAGTCTGAGACAAGAAGAATGTTGGATATACTTTTTTTATTTGACATGCCAGTTTTGCAGTGTGTCATATTGAAACAACTCAATGACAAGGCATATGAATGATAAACTAATTACCTCACTTTTCCTGCTAGCAGATTTAAAATACGATCTTTCGTTCGGCTTGCGTGTCAGTTTATCTTCGGTTATGTGTTGCTGTGAAAGAAACCGGTTAAACGTAAGGCCACTCCGGCATCACTTACGCTCGGTCTGTTAGGGTCTCAGGGTTCTAAGTTTGGCACAATACGAAGAACTCTCAGTTTGCGGCTGCTGGCAATTTCGCAGCGATATCGTAGGGTGCTCTTTAATCATCGCGACTATTCAACACGGGGAAAGGGGGAGGGGGATTTAACCCCCCGCGGTCAATGGCGGGTGGAAATGGTACGCTGCAAGCAACATGACATTTTGTGATGGCTTCTGATCCTGCATACATGCAACCCAAGGCGAAATACAAGAAGTGACATGCACAAAAATGATCGGTCCGATGCAAATGGCACGGGTACCGGTCCCGCTTCCCCATCGGCAACTGGATTCAGGTGTGTGGACACCGCCGCACCACCCGAGATGCTAGATCGATGACTTGATATTTAGGATATCGCATTGTCCGGCTTCAGTGCACACAGCACACAAAGCTGCAGCTCCATATGCCGCAATGTCCGGCTTCAGTGCATACAGCACACAAAGCTGCAGCTCCATATGCCGCCTTGCATGCCCAGGCTATGCTCCAGTGTCACAGGTGCTGCACAATGAATCCAACTGAGCAGATCCGAGTGCTCTCGCAGCTTCCTATATGCTGCCTCTGCTCGGGCACAAAGACATCCCCTGCGACGTCGGCAGCGAAGCTCAGGGCAGTCGGACTAGCGCTCTTGTGACGTCACAGACCGATGGAGGTGTGCCTGTGGCGGCTGCAGTAGTGACAGGCCCTTGGACTAGTACTCTTGTGACGTCACAGACGGCGGAAGTGTGCCTGTGGCGGCTGAAGTAGTGACAGGCCCCTGGCCGTATGTATTCCGGTTACGGTCCGAACGCCAGCCGTCGCTCTCCCACCGGATTCGGCCAGATGGCAAGTCACCCCACGCGTCAAAGTCGTGTCGGCCGTGCCTGCTTCGGCTGCGGTCCGGGCCGGGCCTGGCGCTGCCATGTTTCGGTTTAAATCAGAAAGGTAACGGGGAAACACAAACCGCATGTCAGCATCGAGCCGGCCTTTACCAGTCCATGCAAACACGACAGCTGCCCAGGATCGACACAGGGCGTTATAAACTGACATAAGATGGCGGAGTGTGTGCGTCGCTGTTGATACATTTGTCAGCAGGCGGGGAGACCGGTCCGCCTGCCCCACAGGCTAGCGGTTTGATGGCCATGATTTTACGTGTTGTAACCTGCCACGACCATCGATGACCCACCGTGACCCGTCCGTGACCCACCGTGACCTCCGCCACCTCCGCCAGGTACAACATGACGGCAGTGGCCACGCCGTCTTTGCTACGCTTCATGCGTCACATGTTCCCCGACACGACACTGCCTGTGGTGAGTGACGCGTGCGCTGAGCGGCACACCGCGACCATGGTGGACGCGTTCGAGCAGCTTAGCGACGAGGAGCGGCGCGCGCACAGCTGGCGGATCGACTACTACCCGCACCGGGTGCGGCTGTTCTGGAGCTACCGGCGCCAGCTGTGCGACGAGTTCACCGTGAGGTCAGTAGAGGGCGGGGTTGGGTCAGGGCGGGAGCAAAGTTGGGGTATGGCGAGAACGAATTTGGGTCAGGGAGAGCGAATTTAGGTCAGGGGGAGCGGAGTTGGGTTAGGATGGGAGTGAAATTGGGTCAGGGCGGGAGCGGAGTTTGGGTCCGGGCGGGAGCGGAGCTGGGTCAGGGCGAGAACGAAGTTGGGTCAGGGCAGGAGCGCAGTTGGGTCAGAGCGGGAGCGGAGTTTGGGTCAGGGCGGGAGCGGAGTTGGGATCAGGGCGGGAGCGGAGTTTGGGCCAGGGCGGGAGGGGAATTGAGTCAGGAGTCTGCCAACAGGCGGAGTTGGTAGTGAACGGGAGAAGGGGTAGAGCTGACTGTCATTCGACGCAGAACAAAGCGAAATGTATGGAGCGAGACAGATGAAGAGGAGGGGGGAGGAGAGGGATGTGGGGCAGAAGGGCGTCAGGTCAGGGCAGGCTATGGTCAGAGGGCGGCTTGACGATTGACCATCAAGTCGGAGGGGGTGGGGGAGGAGGGCTTAAGTCGATACCAGCGCAGCTGCAAGACCGTAAAGACCGTGAAGCTGTAAACCCTCGAGATTGCGGGATAGCTTGTTATGGGACGTAGCGCAACGCCGCAGTAAACTTTGGAGATTGCGGGATAGCTTGTTATGGGACGTAGCGCAACGCCGCAGTAAACTCTCGAGATTGCGGGATAGCTTGTTATGGGACGTAGCGCAACGCCGCAGTAAACTCTCGAGATTGCGGGATAGCTTGTTATGGGACGTAGCGCAACGCCGCAGTCTGATTATTTGCCCTCGCATGATAGGGTTCCTCTCGGTATTCTTGCAAGCCCCCCCCCCATGCGCGTAATTTCATGCATTACCAGCGCCAGCAGCTCCATTGACGCTTTCTGTGCGTGTGAAGCAAAAAGGCCGGCGTTTACCTAGCCTTGAACCCGGCCCCTGCGAATGAGGAGCTAAAGTGCTGAGCCGGACCGTCTTCTGCGCCAGGCCAGAGCTTTCACGGCATGCACAGATCAAGCTGCTGGAGGTGAGCCAAGGCCGGGCCGGGCTGACGTTCGTCGGTGTCCACGTGCGCAGGACGGACTACGCCGCCCACCTCAAGGTACGGATACATAGCAGGGCAGGAGGGGGGCTCAGACGATGTGGAGGGCTGCGCCGCGAGCAAATGGGAGATAATGGGTCCACAGAGATATGCATTGTAAATTATGTATATCAAATTATGTATAATTAATGGCACCGCAAAATTAGAACCACAAATCATATGCAGACATCTTCAAAACACAAAACAGTTTTAATAACTACTGGTGTCTCTTCAACGCAACATCTGCCTCAGTGGGCCACAGGCACAGCCCAGCGCAGGAACCAGAGCAACAGGAGACGCTTTGACGCGCTTGGAGTGGGCGCTGGATGCTGCTGAGCCTGGAGCGGGCGCTGGATGCTGCTGAGCCTAGAGCGGGCACTGGGTGCTGCTGAGCTTGGAACGGGCGCTGCATGCTGCTGAGCCTGGAGTGGGCGCTGGATGCTGCTGAGCCTGGAGCGGGCGCTGGATGCTGCTGAGCCTGGAGCGGGCACTGGGTGCTGCTGAGCCTGGAGCGGGCGCTGGATGCTGCTGACCTGGAGCGGGCGCTGGATGCTGCCGAGCCTGGAGCGGGTGCTGGGTGCTGCTGAGCCTGGAGCGGACGCTGGGTGCTGCTGAGCCTGGAGTGGGCGCTGGATGCCGCTGAGCCTGGAGCGGGCGCTGGATGCTGCTGAGCCTGGAGCGGGCGCTGGGTGCTGCTGAGTCTGGAGCGGGCGCTGGGTGCTGCTGAGCCGAGCCTCCGCAGACCGGTGGTAAACAGTCGCTCGTCGCCGGCAGGCTGAGCCGACGGAAGTGACTCGGGCTCATCTCAAACTGCCACACGGCTCTAACTGACTGGAGCGGGTCATGCCTTTCCAGAGAGCCGCTGAGGCACCCGTAAACCGACTGGAGCGGGTCATGCCTTTCCAGAGAGCTGCTGAGGCACACATAAACTGACTGGAGCGGGTCATACCTTTCCAGAGAGCCGCTGAGGCACACGCAAACTGACTGGAGCGGGTCATGCCTTTCCAGACAGCCGCTGAGGCACACATAAACTGACTGGAGCGGGTCATGCCTTTCCATACAGCCGCTGAGGCACACGTAAACTGACTGGAGCGGGTCATATCTTTCCAGACAGCCGCTGAGGCAAACATTAACTGACTGGAGCGGGTCATACCTTTCCAGACAGCCGCTGGGGCACACATAAACGCCCGCTCTCGTCAACGCACAACTTTTGGATCGAGTGATCCCAGTATTTGCGTATTGTTATAACTGATTTTGCTCAATTTCCCTCGCCATGCTTCAACAGTCATCTCCACATGGTAGGCCAGCTCGGCGCGCATGTCTTCGCCCGCATCGGGCTTACGATTTCCTCGCACAGTTGACCTATTATAGTGCATTTGACCTACTGTAGTGCATTTGTTTTCTTTTGCAGTCAGTTTTTCACGGGAACCCAGTGCACGTGTCGTTCTACACATCTGCCATGGCGCTGTGTCGGAAGCGATACACCAATACAGTGTTCATCGTGACAAGCGATGACCTACATTGGTGCAGGTAAGCCGTCTATGGTCATTGACGACCAGCTGGACCAGGCGCCACGGACGGGCACATGTGGTCCGAGGACTGCGGCGTCGCCTTCGAGCTCAGCTGTGGCCCCTCGCGGTGTCGTGGCATCTCATTTTGTCACCTGGAAAATGTGATTTTGACAGTAATCGGCCTTCAGTTTACGAGAAGGCATTGGTTACACGATGTTATCAAGGAGGCATTAGCTACATTGACAAAATCTAAAACTGAGCCTTAAGTTGGGTTTGTTTTATTATATGTATATAGTATGCATGTATATAATTTGTTTATATGGGTATATTTTATAAATCCAGTGCTTCCCTGGTAATTCTATGCATCCAGTACCACTCGGTATACTGCAAATCGATTATTGTCAGAATAAGACCTCCCAGCTAAAACAACGAAACAATCAGGAGCTGAAGGCCTTTCTTATTTCACTGTGGTCCACCTACCAATTGGTTATTTACAATTTCACCGTGAGTCTTGCCTTTCTTTTCACTGTGACTCTCTCTCAATCTCGTTGTAACTCATGCTCTCAGTCTCACTGTGGCCCCTCCTGCCAACTCCACTGTGGCCTCCCTCTCAGTCTCACTGTGGCCCCTCCTGCCAACTCCACTGTGGCCTCCCTCTCAGTCTCACTGTGGCCCCTCCTGCCAACTCCACTGTGGCCTCCCTCTCAGTCTCACTGTGGCCCCTCCTGCCAACTCCACTGTGGCCTCCCTCTCAGTCTCACTGTGGCCCCTCCTGCCAACTCCACTGCGGCCTCCCTCTCAGTCTCACTGTGGCCCCTCCTGCCAACTCCACTGTGGCCTCCCTCTCAGTCTCACTGTAAACCCTTCTCTCAGTCTCACTGTGGCCCCTCCTACCAACTCCACTGTGGCCTCCCTCTCAGTCTCACTGTAAACCCTTCTCTCAGTCTCACTGTGGCCCCTCCTGCCAACTCCACTGTGGCCTCCCTCTCAGTCTCACTGTAAACCCTTCTCTCAGTCTCACTGTGGCCCCTCCTGCCAACTCCACTGTGGTCTCCCTCTCAGTCTCACTGTAAACCCTTCTCCCAGTCTCGCTATGGCCCCTCCTCTCAGCCTCCCTGTGGCCCCTCATCTCAGTCTGACTCTTGGTCCTCTTCTCAGTCTGACTGGGGCCCCTTCTTTCAGGGAGCACCTGCTGGCCGATGATGTGTACGTGATCGGCGATTCACGCGCTGTGACACCCGGCCCAGAGCTCGACCTGGCTCTCCTGGCTGCCTGCAACCACACCGTGTTTGACTACGGCACATACGGATTTTTCGGCGCGTTTCTTGCAGGTCAGGATGTTGCTCGCGTTTTGCAGGCTTTGGTGACTGTATGGGAAGTATCTTTCAGTTCCTCGAAATAAAAATACAAGGGTCTTAAATTTGTCAGCGAGCGCGAAATCTCACAATCCAGCATTTCAGTGGCTCAATTTATTTTCGTGTCTATGTGATCGTGCTGTGACGCAATCAATGAGGTAGTACACAGCACGTGCTCATGGCTCGAACTCGTTCGATAGCATCCACCATCAAGCGAGTGTTGTAACGAATATCAGACATCAGCCGCGACAGAGCTGAGTCAACAACGCTCAAATCAACACCGCAGTGAGTCATGCGCTTCCGCCGGACGGTAATCGACCTTCGTACTTCGCTAGAAAGTGCATAGATGGCGTTGGCCAGTGACTCACATCGTTCTGGCTGGTGTCCCGTGCCCACCAGGGACGTCAATGGTGTTGGTTGGTGTCTCGTGCCCACCAGCGACGTTGATGGTGTTGGCTGGTGTCTCGTGCCCACCAGTGACTCAGATGGTGTTGGCTGGTGTCTCGTGCCCACCAGCGACGTTGCTGGTGTTAGCTTGTGCCGCCAGTGACGTAGGCCCAGTATTCAGTTGTATCCACCATTTACATATATTTACTAACGCCAGATGTGCATCAGTTTACATGTTCACACGTGGCACGTATTTACGGGCTCTGCGCATCCACTAACAATGCATCGTAGCCGCAGCTATGGGTCAGCAGGCGCTGTGCGTCCACCGCTGTACGCAGCTGTGTGTCGGCAGCCTCTGTGTCCACCGCTGTACGCAGCTGTGCGTCGGCAGCCTCTGTGCCCACCGCTGTACGCAGCTGTGTGTCGGCAGCCTCTGTGCGTCCACCACTGTACGCAGCTGTGTGTCGGCAGCCTCTGTGTCCACCGCTGTACGCAGCTGTGTGTCGGCAGCCTCTGTGCCCACCGCTGTACGCAGCTGTGGGTCAGCAGCCACTGTGCGTCCACCACTGTACGCAGCTGTGTGTCGGCAGCCGCTATGTCCACCGCTGTACGCAGCTGTGCGTCGGCAGCCTCTGTGCCCACCGCTGTACGCAGCTGTGTGTCGGCAGCCTCTGTGCGTCCACCACTGTACGCAGCTGTGTGTCGGCAGCCTCTGTGCCCACCGCTGTACGCAGCTGTGTGTCGGCAGCCTCTGTGCCCACCGCTGTACGCAGCTGTGTGTCGGCAGCCTCTGTGTCCACCGCTGTACGCAGCTGTGCGTCGGCAGCCTCTGTGCCCACCGCTGTACGCAGCTGTGTGTCGGCAGCCTCTGTGCGTCCACCACTGTACGCAGCTGTGCGTCGGCAGCCGCTATGTCCACCGCTGTACGCAGCTGTGTGTCGGCAGCCTCTGTGTCCACCGCTGTACGCAGCTGTGTGTCGGCAGCCTCTGTGTCCACCGCTGTACGCAGCTGTGTGTCGGCAGCCTCTGTGCCCACCGCTGTACGCAGCTGTGTGTCGGCAGCCTCTGTGTCCACCGCTGTACGCAGCTGTGTGTCGGCAGCCTCTGTGCCCACCGCTGTACGCAGCTGTGTGTCGGCAGCCTCTGTGCCCACCACTGTACGCAGCTGTGGGTCAGCAGCCACTGTGTCCACCACTGTACGCAGCTGTGCGTCGGCAGCCGCTATGTCCACCGCTGTACGCAGCTGTGTGTCGGCAGCCTCTGTGCCCACCACTGTACGCAGCTGTGTGTCGGCAGCCTCTGTGTCCACCGCTGTACGCAGCTGTGTGTCGGCAGCCTCTGTGTCCACCGCTGTACGCAGCTGTGTGTCGGCAGCCTCTGTGTCCACCGCTGTACGCAGCTGTGTGTCGGCAGCCTCTGTGTCCACCGCTGTACGCAGCTGTGGGTCGGCAGCCTCTGTGCCCACCGCTGTACGCAGCTGTGGGTCGGCAGCCTCTGTGCCCACCGCTACACGCAGCTGTGTGTCGGCAGGCGTCCACCACTGTACGCAGCTGTGTGTCGGCAGCCTCTGTGCCCACCGCTGTACGCAGCTGTGTGTCGGCAGCCTCTGTGCCCACCGCTGTACGCAGCTGTGTGTCGGCAGCCTCTGTGTCCACCGCTGTACGCAGCTGTGTGTCGGCAGCCTCTGTGCCCACCGCTGTACGCAGCTGTGTGTCGGCAGCCTCTGTGCCCACCGCTGTACGCAGCTGTGTGTCGGCAGCCTCTGTGTCCACCGCTGTACGCAGCTGTGTGTCGGCAGCCTCTGTGCCCACCACTGTACGCAGCTGTGTGTCGGCAGCCTCTGTGCCCACCGCTGTACGCAGCTGTGTGTCGGCAGCCTCTGTGTCCACCGCTGTACGCAGCTGTGTGTCGGCAGCCGCTATGTCCACCGCTGTACGCAGCTGTGTGTCGGCAGCCGCTATGTCCACCGCTGTACGCAGCTGTGTGTCGGCAGCCTCTGTGCCCACCGCTGTACGCAGCTGTGTGTCGGCAGCCTCTGTGTCCACCGCTGTACGCAGCTGTGTGTCGGCAGCCTCTGTGCCCACCACTGTACGCAGCTGTGCGTCGGCAGCCGCTATGTCCACCGCTGTACGCAGCTGTGGGTCGGCAGCCTCTGTGCCCACCGCTGTACGCAGCTGTGGGTCGGCAGCCTCTGTGCCCACCGCTACACGCAGCTGTGTGTCGGCAGGCGCTGTGCGTCCACCACTGTACGCAGCTGTGTGTCGGCAGCCTCTGTGCCCACCGCTGTACGCAGCTGTGTGTCGGCAGCCTCTGTGCCCACCGCTGTACGCAGCTGTGTGTCGGCAGCCTCTGTGTCCACCGCTGTACGCAGCTGTGTGTCGGCAGCCTCTGTGCCCACCGCTGTACGCAGCTGTGTGTCGGCAGCCTCTGTGCCCACCGCTGTACGCAGCTGTGTGTCGGCAGCCTCTGTGTCCACCGCTGTACGCAGCTGTGGGTCGGCAGCCTCTGTGCCCACCGCTGTACGCAGCTGTGGGTCGGCAGCCTCTGTGCCCACCGCTACACGCAGCTGTGTGTCGGCAGGCGCTGTGCGTCCACCACTGTACGCAGCTGTGTGTCGGCAGCCTCTGTGCCCACCGCTGTACGCAGCTGTGTGTCGGCAGCCTCTGTGCCCACCGCTGTACGCAGCTGTGTGTCGGCAGCCTCTGTGTCCACCGCTGTACGCAGCTGTGTGTCGGCAGCCTCTGTGTCCACCGCTGTACGCAGCTGTGTGTCGGCAGGCGCTGTGCGTCCACCGCTGTATCGATGAGAAACGTGTACCGATCGTTACATGCCCTGGCAGTGCCATCCATTCACGAGTATGCCTAATGGGTGAGTACTAGGTCTGTGGACAAATGTTGCCGTTCTGAAGAGAAGGCTGAATGGGTTGTGGCTACACAAATTTTCCTATGTGCGACGCGAACAAATTCTGGGGAAGTTGAATAAGCAGCAAGTTCCTGCTACATTCTTATCCTCTTTGTAAGAAGAAAATGGTGTCAGCTAATGGAACGGTGGTTCGCGGCGTTATCGCGATATATGCGCAAGACAGCTCTGACGACGACTTAAAGACGACGACTTAAAGTAGAATTGGCATATTGCAGCACATGTTAGCAAAGCGGTTTCACGTATTGAATTGAAATGCCAACGATATCATATGGAAAGATGGACTTAGCACAGAACGCGAGCAAAGGATCGAGAGGATTCCAGAGATCAGAGGAGCGTCAAAAGACCCGTGTCCGTAGCTTGTTCACAGGGGCGACCTCCAGCAGATAGACTAAATGCATCGTAATGGATGACGATTCCTGCTTCAACTATTCTGAGAGTCCAATGACGGGCGATTCGGGGTTTTATACACTCGCATAAACGGGCTCAAAGAGGGCACGTCTACCGCGCTGGTAGATGTGTCATCTATGATGTAAATTTCAAGGGTGACGCTAGCGCCCACGCAAGTTGCTGGTTTGGCTCCCCATCAGCCCGCGTGGCTGATGGTGATGAGGATGATGACGTGCACGAACATCCAGCCGGTGATCAGCCCAACAAAAAGCCTGGGGACGGGCCAACATGCCGTCAGAAGCGCATGCGGAGGGTGCTTTTACATTTTCTGGGAGCCGCTATGGTAACGAAGAGCGCATCTTCAGATCAGATACCGCCATCACACACTGCGCTTATGAGACACTGCAACTGCTTGAAAAGATCGTCGTGCAGTTTTAAACTCGAGAAATGAGCCCGCCTTGGCCTCCCCTTCCTCAGTTCCGACCAACATCGAGCATGTGGGGTCTGCGTAAGCAGGCAAGGCATTTATGAGGTCGGCAAACACGGCCGCGCAAACAGTTAAACGTCAGGGTACGTAAAATCACCTGTGAAACTTAACCCGGAGGTGCCGCACAGGCTCATGAAGGGGTGACCGGGCACGTGCGCCAAGCAGACACATTCATGAAGGAGTGACCGGGCACGTGCGCCAAGCGGACACATTCATGAAAGAGTGACCGGGCACGTGCGCCAAGCAGACACATTCATGAAGGGGGTGACCGGGCACGTGCGCCAAGCAGACACATACATGGAGGGGTGGCCGGGCACGTGCGCCAAGCAGACACATTCATGAATGGGTGACCGGGCACGTGCGCCAAGCAGATACATACATGGAGGGGGTGGCCGGGTACGTGCGCCAAACAGACACGTTCGGAACCACACTTTTCGGACAATGATCTCATTGCAATGTCGATTGCAAAACACAAAGAAGTCAGCCACAAGTATTTGAACATTGCCCCCTCCCCCCTCCCCAAATGTTATTCAACCGTTATCAAGGACGTCTTTTAACCGCTGATTTTGTCCACCATCGTCACGCTTTGTCCACCATGGTCGCGGTTCGCCGAGGTATTTGTATTCAGCAGCAACGTCTGTCCACCAGTGACGTGTTTTCCACCGATGGTCCTTCTTTGCCATTGATGTTCTTTCACCACCAGTATATGTCTACTTGTGGCGCGTCTTCGTCAGTGACGAGAGCGGCGTGACGTCACTGACGGCGAGCAGCCAACATTGACGCACCTGTGCTGGTAACGGGTATCCAGCAATGCCGCTCGCGTGTATCCTCACCAAAGTCGTCTTACCGGCCTCAGGTGGGGACATGATCCTGGCGGACGGCTTCTCGGAGCTGGAGCACGAGATCGTCACCGAGCTGCGGCTGGGCGGCATCAACGCCACATTTTTGGATCCTCGCGGACGTCTTCTGCCCCACTGTAGATTCTGCACGTGACAGCGGACCGGACTGTGGGAAAGGACCTCACTCTGTGGGGCAAGGCCTGACTCTGTGAGGAAGGACCTAGCACTGTGAGGAAATCCTGACTCTTTGAGGAGTGACCTGACTCTGTGAGGAAGGATCTGACTCCGTGTGGAAAGGCCAGACTCTGTGAGGAGTGACCTGACTCTGTGAGGAGGGATCTGACTCCGTGCGGAAAGGCCAGACTCTGTGAGGAGGGGCCTGACTCTATGAGGAGGGACCGAAGCCTGTGGGACGGACAGAACTCCGGTGACTGTTCGACGGACGGCGCCTGCTGACATCCTCGGCAGCAGCCAGCGCGCAGCAGGCGGAGATCAGCGGAGCTGCTGCAGACACGGGCTCTTGGAAGAGTTCAGTATTACCTCGGCGGGCTGCTTCGATGCAGCTGCTTCGATGCGATGCAGCGCTGAGTGACCGAGCGTGCACCAAGGTGGAACACGCTCTCAGGCAGAGCCGCTCCACGCCGGCTGGAGGTGCACTGTGAAGCGTGGCTGGTGTGGCCGGCACGTCTAGTGCCGAGCGGGCTGTCCTGTTGGTGACGGCCGACGACGGGCAGCCAGCAGTGACGGCTCTCTCTCTCTCTCTCTCTCTCTCTCTCTCTCTCTCTCTCTCTCTCTCTCTCTCTACTCTCTCTCTCTCTCTCCTCTCTCTCTCTCTCTCTCTTCTCTCTCTCTCTCTCTCTCTCTCTCTGTCTCTCTCTCTCTCTCTCTCTCTCTCTCTCTCTCTCTCTCTCTCTCTCTCTCCTCTCTCTCTCTCTCTCTCTCTCTCTCTCTCTCTCCTCTCTCTCTCTCTCTCTCTCTCTCTCTCTCTCTCTTCTCTCTCTCTATCTCTCTCTCTCTCTCTCTCTCTCTCTCTCTCTCTCTTCTCTCTGTCTCTCTGCTCTCTGTCTCTCTGTCTCTCGTCTCTCTGTCTCTCTGTATCTCTGTCTCTCTGCTCTCTGTCTCTCTGTCTCTCTGTTCTCTCTGTCTCTCTGTCTCTCTGTCTCTCTGTCTCTCTGTCTCTCTGTCTCTCTGTCTCTCTGTCTCTCTGTCTCTCTGTCTCTCTGTCTCTCTGTCTCTGTCTCTCTGTCTCTCTGTCTCTCTGTCTCTCTGCTCTCTGTCTATGTCTCTGTCTCTCTTCTCTTATCTTCTGTCTCTCTGTCTCTCTTTCTCTATCTCTCTGTATCTCTGTCTCTCTGTCTCCGTCTCTCTTCTCTCTGTCTCTCTCTCTTGTCTCATCTGTATCTTCTGTCTCTCTGCTCTCTGTCTCTCTGTTCTCTGTCTCTCTGTCTCTTGTCTCTCTGTTCTCTTCTATTCTCTTCTCTCTTGTCTTCTGTTCTCTCTGTCTCTCTGTCTCTATCTCTCTGTTGTCTCTATGTCTCTCTGTCTCTCTGTCTCTTCTCTCTGTCTCTCTGTCTCCTGTCTATCTGTCTCTCTGTCTCTCTGTCTCTCTGTCTCTGTCTCTCTCTCTCTCTCTCTCCTCATTCTCTCATCTCTTCTCCTTCTCTCGCCTCTCTCTCTCTCTCTCTCTCCTCTCCTCTCTCTCTCTCTCTCTCTTCTCTCTCTCTCTCTCTCCTTCTCTCTCTCTCTCTCTCTCTCTCTACTCTCTCTCTCTCTCTCTCTCTCTCTCTCTCTCTCTCTCTCTCTCTCTCTCTCGTCTCGCGCTGGAGGCGGCCCGCGTGACCGCCGGGTCGAGCTCTGCTGGCCGCGGCTGTGAACAAGGACGGCTGAAGTTTCGCCGACGCCGGAGCAGTGCCCACACCGCCGGCCAGCTGTGCCAACACCGTCAGGGAGGAAGCGCTCCGCCGCTCCGCTTGCTGTGCGTTCGAGACACAGCTATGGTGTGGCACGGAGAACGTGGCTACTCGCAGACCCATGAGCGAGGTCTGCGCTCGGTCACGCCTGGGTCTCATAGTTTTTCTTCTGTGGGTTTATGTTTTACAATGCACTGTGCGTTTTGCTCCTGGTGTCGTTTATTAGTCTGGAATCATGTCGTCCTATTTAGTCATATGTCGCCTTTGCTCGCCATCAGTTGCTCGCCAGTAACCTCAACGACTCAGCGTCACCGTCACCCGTCACCCCTGGAATGTACAACGGTAAAGCCTGGTCGGGAGAGATGTGACATCTCCACCAATCATCGCCAATAAACGAGAATCTTACTGTGGGTCAGCTTGTATCAAATAGTGCCGAGCCGAGGACGGAGGAGCGCGGTCACAGGTGACATTCAGGTGGAATGGCGGGCGCATGCGATGACGCAGTAGTGCCTGGGTACCTCGAAACCAATAACCTCTACAGATAACACTTGCATTTGCTTGCCTGTCTAACATAAACTACGTAACGTAACGTAACCGAAGCCAACCTAACACAACCTAATATAACCCAAGTTAAGCCAGCCTAAGCTAACCTGTCCCAACCAGACCTAGCCTTACCTAACTAAACGTAGCACAATCCGGCTGCTCCTGACATGAGTAAAACAAAAAAGAAAGTAACGAGGATTTTGATCAAGGATGGAGCTTCATGCTTTGCGTAGAATATGTAAAAGGCGATGCAGAGCAAACAGCGTTGTCACGAATTTCGGATAGGCGGGAGTAGGTGTGAGGGGGGAGTGTTCATGCGAGAACCGTTTTAAATATTGACTATGAAGCGAGAATGGAGTAACGCTGTTGGAACCGCGATTTAAGAAGACGACCAAAAGGCAGCATCGGGTCACAGCACCGTGTCAGCCGGAACAGTATCAGGCCCAAAATACACCAGTCTTCAAAACGGTGGAAAAGGGACGCTGTTTCGTTGAATGCGCGCTACATATTTATGTCAGGGTCGGAGAAACAGCCAAAGAATACACGCAACAGACGGTGAAAAATGTAGGCTAAACACGCCGAACAGGTCGGAAAAGTCTGTGATTTCCGCGCAGAAAACGTTCAGTAAGTGTTTTTTCCGTTCTTCGCTGTCACAGTCGCATGCACCATAAGGTATAATATTCTCCTGCCGCTGGGCCCAAAGACAATCAGCGGACCCAGGGGCGTGCAAGGCCCCAGTCACTGAGAGACTCAATAGGGTGACTTAACCCCAAGGTGGCCCTAAAACAGTCAGAGAACCTCACTGACCTTCAAAAAGACCCGAAATAATAACGATATCAATCAGAGAGCCGACAAAGCTGCTCTCCGAAGAGATCTAAGAAAATTTGATGAATAGCTTCCTGCTATCTCTAAGCTTGGGCCTGGTTTCAATGCCTCGAAGTGCCTACCAACTGGCTTACTAAAAATTACTGCTTCTGCTATTGTACCCTGTAAACAATTGGTTCTCAGCACTTCTTAGGTAATTGTTGTCGTTTATCCTGACGACGAACGGGCTCAAAATCATAACCATGAATTTTTAAGACAAGCGAGATGGGATCAAGAAACGCTCAATGTTACAGTTACGGTTATTTTATTTAAGCCGCATCCACGTGGTGGTTGTTGTGCGCCTGTCTTACCAGAACAAAGAACCCACATACAGTATAGAGATACACAAATACGAATAGACCCACGGTTTCAGTCGATGAGTCAGCGATTTAAAACAGTCAAGAATGCCCGACGGGAGGGGGCGCGGACGGCCGCCGCAGACAGTCGATTCCACGCGGCGGGGATGCGGTACGGGAAGTGTCGCTGGGTGTGCTCAGTCGGACGCGCGGCAGATGCGGCGAGCCGACACCGCCCGAAACAGCCCGACTTTGGCGTTAGGAAGGCCCGGCGCGCGTTACGAATAGAGCACGTGGTGCGCTGGGGGATTCGGGACGTGCAGTGCGCTGTACACATTCAGGCAGTGCCGGTGGTGCACAAGATCCGCGACGCTACGCGAGGCGAGGGCGTCCAGAACGGGTGAAATGAGATGACTGCGGCGGACCCGCGGCCCACCGCCACTCACCAGCCTGACTGCGAGGAGCATCACCACTTGCACCTTGTCTGTGTGACGCTCGGCCGCTCCACCCCAGATGGACAGGCAGTAGAGGATGTGGGGAAAGATGTGGATTTCGGCAAGGAGCTTCAAAACCTCAGGAGTGAAGCAGTGTTGGATTTCGAACTGGGATACGAAGATTGCATTAAAGCGCGGTTCGAGAGAGGAGTTGCGGGGTTCCTGGGGTGAAGTGGTGGTCGAGGAGTACACCCAGTACCTTCACTGAGGCTGATGGACAAATGTTCATGCCGGGGATGGCAATGTGGAAATTGCCGGTCTTTGTTATAGAGGGTTCGATGCCGATCAGCATGAAGTAGGTCTTTTTGGGGATCATTTTAAAGCTATTTGACTGAAACCAGTTTTGAAGGCACTGAATGGACTCCTCGACGCGGGCTTTCAGTTTGAAGAGGCCGACGACATCGGGGTTGGCGGGGTCAAGGTGTTGGGTGTCATCGGCGTACGATAGTTGGCGGCCGTCGGGTAGGAAGCTGGAAAGGTCGTTGAAGAAGGTGAGGAACAGGATTGAGCCGACAAGGGATCCCCGAGCTCATCTTCCTGATGGCTGCAGAAAGCCCCGGTAGAGTGGCTGGATGCAGGGAGAACGCCGAGGCACAGACACGGTACGGGCGCGGTCCAGCCGGGGCGCGGTCCAGCCGGGACGCTCCCGCATTACCACACACCGTCGCCGCCTCCGCAGCGATGCGAGGGCCAACGGTAGCGAAGTGGACATTGAGTGCGTCCGCCCGGGTGCCCATTCTGTAATCGGGTGTGCCACGCCTTCTCGCTGGCTACGGTCCGAAGTGCTTGGGGCGGCTCCAGAAATCTCGTTGCCCCGTCAATAGACCGCCGCATAGGTAGGGGCGTCGCGCGAGAGTTATTTTTTAAAAACATTTGTTCCGAACCCTTTGAATGAATGGATTTTTGGGATCAGAGCTCACGCTAAGCAGTGCTTGTTGTGTGAGCCCTGACCCCTACCACCCGATCACACGATTCCATGTAAACGGCAGAATTTGGTGGCGAAAGCTCAACGTGCCGCACTGCTCTGCACGGTCCGTCCCGCCCTCTGACGCCAACTGATCTTCAGCGCGACCGCTGCCACCGGCCGCAGGCCATGCCCGTCAAGGGCAAATAGCGAACGCTCTAAAGCGACTCGAATCCACCCCGCCACAGGTGGGTGGATCGGAAGGCAGGTGCTCTAACCATACGGCAGCGCTCCCAGGTCTCGTGGGCGCAGTCGCGTTCCTCCATAGTTGCGGAGACTTCCGCATCTCCACGCAGCCACGGACAGGCCGGGCCGGCGTGACGTCACGGTGACTGGTCGGGCAATGAGCGTCGATTACATTGTTCCACTTTTCCATCAATACGGCCACCTTGTCATCGGCAGTGCCAGAGACGTAGAGCGACCCCCAATCAGTGAGTAGCAGACTCAGGTTGAACGCGTCCCAGTCGACTTGCATCCACGGTCGCACGGTGGTGGTGCCTGACCGCCGGCGCTCTCTGGGGACGGAAGCCGAGGTAGCACCGGTCGGTGGTCCGCCGCAGGCTGGGGAAGAACCTCAGTCGAGTTCGGAGATCAGTCACGTCGGTGACGATCAGGTCTAGCAGTGTTGGTGTCGATTGGAGGTGTGTGGGCCTGACGATCACCTGATCGAGAGTCATGTCTCTCGGGGCGGTCCAAAAATCGCGTA